GCTTTTGTTAAAATGTGTGTGTTTGGCGTAGTACCTGTTGTGCCTAGTTTTCCCTGGCAATGTTACTCATGCTCAGTTTGCCTGAAGATGGAAGTGTTAGTGTTGGACTAGTCTGGCGTCTTGCGCAGAGTCAAGGTCCTCAGTTCTGCTTAAAAGTGTACCAGCTCTTCACCTTCCACTTTGTTGGTAAGGACTGATCTTTTGCTATTTTCTCGGTACAGTTCTTCTCAGGCTTTGGGATTGCACTACTTGAAGGCGTACTCAAAACTTTGATTTTTGTTGTCATGGATTTTTTTGTTTGTTTGTTTAGAGCATTGGGAATTTTTAGTAAAGGTGTTACCAGGTGAAAAAGGGTGGGATAGGGAGAGTGCAAAAGCATCTTCCTTACTGCTGCATCTCTCTTCAAATTGATAATTATTGGTAAGAAAGGAAGCTATGCCTGATGTCGCTCCCAGAAGTGTGCATTTGTAGAGATCGCGTGGCCTGTTGCCAAATGTCCTTAGCTATTTATTATGGTCAACAAAACAGCATCCTGACTATTTGAGAGTTGTAAACTTTGGATGAAACCACTAATCCATTCAGTCTGTCATCCTTTCTGACACTCTGTTCTTTTTTCTGTAGTAAGGCTTTTGAGGAGCAGCCTGTCCACCTGGGTCATTTCTCCCTAATTTCCATTCGGTGAAAGATTTCAGATTTGTTTCTACGATCTGAATTACTCATGCCTCTCTCCAAAGCTTTTATTGCAGTGTCCTACTGAAAATGTCAGAAATTTTCATCTTTAGGAAAATTTTGTTTCCCCCAAACTGTAATGACGCGAGTGTTGGTGGGAAGCCATGCAAAGCAAGAGAAGGTCAAGAAATCTGAGAAATGATGACTCAATTGTACTGCTTTTGCTAATTTCTTTGACTTGTGGATTCTAACTTCATTAGTGGCTCTACAAACCTTGGTGTTCAAGACTTGCAACTGATACCTTTTCTAAAAACAGAGGAGGGGAGGAGAGGGAACACTGTTTATTTCAACAACCACAAGCAACACTTCCAAAATACACTTGTGGTTGTATCGCAGAGTTATGAATCTTAGGTTATCTAGTGGTGACTAACATGGTGAGGCAGTAGCCTAATATGTCCGCGCTTTATTTAGAAAAGGTAGTTCTTATCGGAGACAAGGAACACCAGTGTTGAATTCACTGTGTTTGCTGAGTCCCTACGTACAGATATCAAGTCTGTCGGCAGTTCATGCTGCAAGATACAGAAACTCACCTTTCAGGGTCTGACTGCAAGTTCTCAAGGATTTTGCAGTACAGAAAGAAACTAACTTCTCTCCCCCTCCACCGTCTCTCCTTCCAAATACACTTTTTAGGCTGTCCTATGGTTTGATCAAAGTTAAAAAAGGATTACGATACCTCTTGATCAGATAGATTTTTTTTTTTTTTTTTTTTTCATTTACATTGTGGTGAATTTTTTTAACAATGTGTTATCTCACTGGAGCGGTGGTTCACAAATAGATTGTAACAGCTTTCTAAATTCTTAAGGCAGAGCCTAGGTTCCACCAGTTGTTACATTTAGAGAACCCTACAAGACTTTTTTCCTCGCTGCAGAGTTTAACCTGTGGAGTCCGGGTGTGCGTCTTCAGTAAGACAGCAATCTCTTACTGTTCTGCCTATTTAAAAATAAAATGGAAGAGCAAATCCCCCCTGGCAAACCAGGACATCCTCAGTTTTGGGGGTATATACAGTTTGCATTAAAGGTAAGCTGGGTTGGAGGGCATAGGCTTTGACACAAAACGTGGCTTTATTCCCATAGACAGACGGTGCAGCTGAACTGGGGATTACTGAAGTCTGTGGGACTGTCCTCCCTGACTTGCCACCTTCTCATTGATTCAGAGTGCAGGGAATTGTTTGGCCCTGTGGCAATAACACCAACTGTAATATGCATCCGATAGTGAAAGAATGAATGGTTTGTTCTCCTAGAAAGACAAACAGTGTTTGTGTTGGTTGGTTTTTGTTTTGTTTTGTTTTTTAAGATAAATAAAAAATCCTCTGTGGGTCATTTTAGGCTCTCACAGAAACTTGAATATGCTAAATGAGTGTGGTTCCCTAGCTGAGCCAATAGGGATGGCCAGGCACAGGCAACACTTCTATCCCACGAGAGGGAGGAGGGGTGAATGAGCTAGAAGATATAAGCTGAAACAAAGCCATGCTATCCTTCTGAGTCATTCGCATACGCTGGATGGGTAAGGCTTCCTGCTTCCTGGGACACAGAAGTGGGGTCATGATTCTAACAATGGATGCTGGTAAGTCACTTTTTATTAAATTTCTCTGGTTTTTTTTCTGGGAAGTCACTCCTTCCCCCCCCCCCCCAGCTGAAAAGAAGGTAGCTGTAAACTGGGAAGCTGAATTGTTACATAAATACATGCTTATTCCAGACTTCCCAAGCTGTGTGCACTTTACTGTGTGTTACACTGGTGTTATTTCTTGACTGTTACTCGTTGAAGCGCGTATCCTCTCTTGCAATGCAAGACCTTGGTATCAAAAGTGCGTCTGTTCATTTGTACTTCTGTCGTAATTGGGACAGAACCTGTGGTCTGAGAAGTGCATGGTGTCTCACTCTCTTTGATAATAGAGGTGATAGTCTCTGGAAGATACATGCTAGATCTTACGCTTGCTGTAAAGAGCTAGTGGTGAACTAATGTATTGGCTGTGGCTTCCTCTGTTTACAGAAATTTTGTACTGGGGAGGAAGAGGGAGCAACTGCTGCATTTCTGTGGTAGTCAGTTCTGCTTTGTGTGTTTATAGCCAAGGAAGTCTATGTGAAAAGAGCACACACAGGATTTTTTTTTTTTTCCCAAATTAGGTGCGAAAGTGAAATCTTTAACATAGTTCCCTGTGTGATAGGGAGAATGAATGCAAACAGTAAGATGTAGAGTGGTTTCTATAAAAGAAACCAGCAGTCCCAGTCCCCCTTCTTGAGAGGGGGTGTGTTTCCATGTCATAACTCGCATCCTTCAAATTCCACAGTAATAAAAAGATGTTGGATTTTAAATGGTTATGGATAGGGCATAAAGCACCAGTGGTTGTGCTCTGGCAGCACACTCACGGCTGCTCTTTCTCTTACCAGTTGCAAGCATGCCTGCTGCATTTTTAAGAGCTCTGTTGAACTTTTGTCAGCAGTTGGTTCAGCTACTTTTTTTCACCCCAGTGCAGAAGCATAATGTGACAAATTCTACAAGCCGTGTTCAAAGTGATAAACTTACTCAGGCAGATCTTGCTGGTCTGTTTTAATCTACTTGTCACATGCTCAGTTTATTCCATGCTAATGAAAAGCTCACTGTCCCCTGTGCATCTGAATTGATTAGGTTAGGCATTTGCTAGGGCCTAAAGGGAAAACTCTCTGCCTTCTTCCAGCTCTTTGACTTCTCTGAGACGTCCAGAAGGTGACCCAGCTGGGTTCTTCATGCACAATTTAGAGGAGATAGCAAACCACTTCATTTAACCTACCCACACTTAATTGAAGTTGCTTTGTCATCATCTGTGTAGGCAAGATTGAAACCAGTGACTCTTTTTGTGTTCCATGTATGTTACATGCTTTGCAAATCAGTTGAAACCCAGGCCCTTTTAATGGAGATGATAAAATTTAATGCAAGCTCAGAGAGGAGCAGAATGGCATATGGTTGACAATTTTCCATGACATAGAGGATGATGATTTTTGTATTTTGACCCTTTCATTAGAGTTGTTTCTAGAGGAGCCAAATTTCAGGCCCTTCTTTGTGGGGATGGGAATCTTTAATGGCCGCTTTAATCCCCACACTTAAAGCAGTTTGAATACTGGGAATTAGCAATCCCCTTCTCTCTCCGCTTGTACAAGAAGGACTGATGCTTAGATGGCAGATGTCATGCCCAGTATTATAGGAGGATGCCCTGGCAAAGTTCAGGATTTACATGCTCACAGGAGATATGGATCCAGGCTTTGCCCACAAGACACTTCTTGTCCTTTGAAGTACCAGAGTTCTTGTACTGCATTGGAGTAATTTCTCTCTTTTGTTTTGGAAAGACTGTGGAGACGTTAATAATATATGGTTTAAAAAAAAAAAATCTTTTATTTGCATATACTTACCTACTTGTGTTGTGTGGTTTCTTTACACTGTGAGGTGAACCATAAAGATAATGCTGCTCACCTGTGTTTCACTGGATCCAAACCTGTATCTTTTTCCAGAACATTGTCACTGCACTAGTTTCTCAGGAATTGCTGTGCTCTAGTAGTCTGAGTGGTAATTTTCAGAGTTATGTTAACTTGTATGCTTAGTAAACATACATTTTGGAAGTTCCCATCCAGTTCCTTAAGAATTCTTAAATTACAGTTCTCAGCTGCTTTGTGGAAAAATGGTTCTAATGACCTGAAAGGAAACATTGTAATACAAGGATTTATAACAGTGAGTTCTAGTACTTCTCAAGTATATTTAAGTTACAGAAAAAATATGCAAGCAATTCAGTGCCTTATGCCTTAATCTGGGACACAGTTTATCTGCTTGGTTTTGCCCACCTTTTACAGCTGAGCTTGCTGTTCTTGCAACTGTTTGCTTACTTCAAATTGTATGTTTGCATTACAAGCCAGGGCTCATAATTTTTTTTTTTTTCCAAATGGGCATCAAATTCTTAAGCTGTTTTTTAACAGAACAAAACTTCTGTTCCTTAAGATAATTCTAAGAATACTTGTCCACTTGTTTCAATTTTTATTAAATGCATTTTGTTCTGCTGCATTTGTCTTTGCAGCTTTTAATTTCTCGCAGGAGCAGGACTAAAAAAGTTTTGGATGGGGGGAGTAGAAAGGAAAGCTGCAAGATAGAGTTGACAGTATAATTGGATTTGAAGCAGCTACAGGCTGGGACTGTTGCAACAGCTGATTTGATCCTTCTGAGTTTCAAGAGCTATTTATGGTAGATTAGCTGTATCAAAGCTCTACTGTTCCAACCATAAAAGGTTGGTCCTATGTGAAGTTGCCACACTGCATTTGGCTTAGTCCTCCGAGGTTGGAGAGCCTATAGCTTTTTATGTGGATAAATCCAGTGATGGATGGAAATACTAAAGGCAGATCAAGGAATAACATTGTTGAGGACTTCGTATGGCAGCGAACTCTTAAAAGGAGATTTTCACTAATAAATTTTTTGCTCTAATGTTTGGAATCAGTACTTGGATATAGCTCCTGCATATTTACTGCATTTGGTGAACGCATGCTTTTAGGAAAGCGCTGTTCTAAATTTATCTGACTTATCTGAATCATCTTGACTGCACATGTACTTGCCAGCCTTGCATGTTGATATTTGGTAACTTTTGTGAAGTCAGTTTTCTGTTTTCTTAGCGTTAGGCCCTTTGGAAAGGAATCTTAGCTGAAGTGAGAAACTTCTCTAAAACAAGAATTATGAAATTCCTGCCTGAAAAGAGCTTCAGGCGTTATCAGTAACTATTTTGAGAAGACTTTGACCCCTTCTACTGCATCTGTACCTTCTTTCTTTCCTCCCTTGTGTAAAGGCAGACAAGTGGATTTTTTACAGCATTCTGAAGTAAGTAGCACCTCATTCGGAGACCTTGCACGCAGTCGCTTGAGCCAGTTGTTTGAGAATATTTGCGGCTTTGTCAGGTTGAAATGTGAGTGGGTTTATTCCAGCCTGTGCATGCCAGTCATTCAGCCTTCCTTAAGGCATTTTGTGTTTTTATTCTCGTGGTTTTGCTTAGAGGATGAGTTCATTCTGCTATGAATGGAAAGTCCTGTCTCTGGTTGGTTTGTGTGTGAGGTGTCTCTCTTTTCTTTTTCTGTTTTTAATACGTTAACCTTAGCCACAGTACTACAAGCAGCTATTAAGAATACTTCTATAAAACCAAAATTTTTCAGTAGTAATTTTCTCTTGTGTTCAAGAAGTTCTGTAAACACATGTGAATACTGTTGCATTGGATAACTGTGTTATATTTTGAGACTTGGGAGTGTTCTGAAGAAAGCTTCCTCCAACTTCCCATTCTCTTAGTTTTAAACATTACCAGGACACCACAGGTGAAAGTTACTGGCACTGTTTTACCTTCCTCTCCTGCAGCAGTATCAGCTGTTAAAGGCGGGGAGCATAAGGGGCAGGGGGTTGGGAAGAGGAGTTCCTTGCTTCAAGGATGTTTCAGATGTTGTATTTTCATTTCCAGAAACACAAGAATAGTGTCCTTGCCAAGGAAATAAATTTTCTGGTTTTTAGTTTCTCTTTCGGGAACTAGCAATTTAAGGCCATCTTCCATTTTCTTTGGATTACAAATCTGTATTTCTCTGTCAAATGGATCTAGAATTTTTATTCTGAATTATATAAACCTGTGTTTTAGCCTAGAGAATACCAGAAGACATGTCTGGAGAGTTACTGTTTAAAAACTACTTTATCAGTTTAGGGGTAGGAATATTTTATTGGAATAAAACCCCCCATATATTTAATCTTTCTCACACAGACCTTGTTAGATATACATTTAAATACACACCTCTATCTGCATATTTTATAGGAGATTGAATCCTTCTACCTGCAGAGGCAGTGAGGGTTAGGAAGAAACTGCCCGAGCAATATCCTCCTTCAGATAGCCTGTTAATTTTTGTCTTGGATTAACAGATGTGTACTTAAGTTCGATACTTGACTTTAAAATCTTCTTACGTTGCTTCCAGTAAAATTAGTCTTTTTAATAGGCATCATTTTTTATATGATCTAATTTTTTTCTTTGCTACTTGCATTTTAAAAAGCAAGTTGACGTAAATCGCTCCACCATTTTAACACGCCTGTGTTGTGCTTTCAAACACTATAGTCTTAGTACATTTGTTTATGCAAAACATTACTAAGAATATGTAGAGTTTGTGGGTTTGGTTTTTTTAAATGCAACATTGTCATTTTCCTTGCTTAGAACATGTTCACAAGATTGGCTCTTGTCTATGAAGCCTTTCATATAATGAACATTGGTGAAAATTGCACAAGCTTATTTAGTTTAAATTGCAATTGTCTGAGTTCATGTTTGTTCCCCAATGTGTTGGCTGTTGTGCATGGCAATTTCACTACAATTTCAAAGAAGCAAAATCTCTGGAATAGTTTGCGGTAACAGGTGGCTGAGGTTATTCACTTTGCAGAGGCATTGCAGTTCGCAGTGTGTTTTCTTGCTGAATGCGTAGGCTTCTGTTTCTCCATGGAGAAGCCTCCATTTGGCATAATGGGGGGGAATAGTGAGCTCTCAAAGGAAGCAGTGTGCACAATGGGCTCACCTTATTAATTCGCTGGTTTTGCTACTTTCCCAACTAGGCACTTTAGAGTTAACAGACACATTGGAAGGTCGTGATTTTTAATGAGCAAAACATATCCTAGTTGGAATCTGCCTTAAGCAGATAAGAATGCGTTGGGTAACTGGTGATAAAAATGCTTCTGATGTCACTTACTCACATGGTGGTGTGTTGAAGGGAGTCTTTCAGTAGAGAGGGTACAGCAATTATGCATTAGGTCTTTGCTGATTTATTTGGATTTAGTTGATGGGTCTGTCTTTGCTCTAATGATGCCAGTTTTCAGAGTTTAAAAAAAAAAAATCTGTAAAGTCAGATTTCAAAGACGCAGATTAAGATAATTCAGATTTCCAGGCAAGTCTCTCTTCAGATATACAAAAAAGCATCATGATGAACTTGGACATGAAGCATCATGTGGTGTAATTACTAAGGCCAGATAGGTTTCTAAAACAACTTAAGGCTCCATCAGACCGTTACACAGGAAGTGTGTAATTTCCCCACAGAACTGAGCCATTTGAAGCTGAAAGCTGCCATGCTGTTACTAGTGGTCTGTTACAAAGGAACTGGATTCAGGTGTTAGTCGAGAGATTGCATGCCAAAGTACTGTGAGAAGTTAATAATACTTCCGTGGAGTTAATGACTGCCAAATGTGCTCCTCATGGTTTATACCTGTAAAACCCTTGGCAGACAGCAAAGACCTGCAGGATTTAATTCTTGCTCTGTCATATCAGCCTTAGATTTAGACAAAATTACTGTCTATTCCCTAAAATAAAACAAAGCTAGCACTGTCTCCTATTAGCTCGCTGCAGAAGGAGGGAGGAGTGTGGATTAATGTTTCAAAACAGTTGCACCAAATGATCTAGGGAATATGCAAGTCGTATGTGCTTCACATATGACTTTTTCAATCTTGCTCTTTCTGACAAGAAGCCCAGTTAAGCCTCAGAGACAGCTAGAATAACTCTTTTTAACTCTTAGAAAATAATTGCCCCAACTGTTTATATTAGAGTGAAAAATGGACAGTATTTCAATGTTGTTTTCCATTAAATGCCAACTGGCCCCAAAAACAAGGTGAGATCCTACTGGAAGCAACGTTTCAGGCAGCTGTTGGCACTCCAGTGGTGACTAGGGGTTGGTAATGCTAACCCTGTAGCCACAAGTTAGGTCTGGGAGTTGAGAGACCTGGGTTCACTTGGCTTTGGTGTCAGTCATCATAACACCTGCCTGCCTTCAATTTCCAATTAAAAAAACTTGCCTGATTTGTTAACACAGGCAACTGGAGCTGAAGAACTGAGGCAGCATTGGATTTCACTTTTTCTTCCTTTTCATTGTGAAGACAAGTAGCTATTTTTTGCAGTGAGTAAAGCTAACCTTGAATGATATATTTCTTATTGTAGTCAAGCCATCCAGAGCATATAACTCATTTGAAGGAAACAGACTCAAGGATTCAATGTTGGTAATTCGAAGCAACATGATAAACTGTTGAAGTTGAGGGAAATGAAGCTTACTGCATGCCTTAAAAACCCTAACTAGAGTTAGTTTATACTAAAACTACTTCAAACAAAAAACATATGCCAACTCCCTGAGTTGCACTCAGTGAAACCTATGTGAATTGTACAAGCTGACTTTGAAAACATAGCACAATCCCCATCCTTTCATTCTGATCAGATAGTAAGAGTCGTCTTTGCAAGCAAGGAATCTTTGCGTTCATAGCTGGAGGTTTTGTTTCAGAATGGGAAACTTAATTTTATAACTGTAAAATGAACTCAGGTCTTTAAAGGCTGCATTACAGTTACAGGTTTAAATACCAAATTCTCAGGTTGAGGTTCCTCATGTTTTCTTATTCCATTTCTTATTAAATTATCAGTGGGGAAACTTTAGTAGAAAAAAACCTATACCTTATAAAATAGCACAGAATACATTTTGGTTATAGACCTCTACATATTAAAATATTCTGATTATCAGTACACAGATATCTAAAGGTATGCTACAGATTAATTGTGGCAGATGCAATTTTGATATTGCCAAAATGCATTTGTCAGTTTATATGTGCAAATATTGGAGTTATGGATGTTTTAACAATTGCTTTGTTAGTATTTGGGGCGGGGTGAGTCCTGCCACTCAGCTGTTTGAAACTGAACTGAGCAATTAACATAAAAATGTTCCTGTACCTCTGCAAAAAATCAAGAACATTGCACTTTCAGTCAACCTTAACCAACTGTACTGAGAATGAACAAAACCATTAGAAGGTTTTTTTGGTCAGTTCTGCTTAAATAGTAATCATCTAGAATTATGTTTCAAGTGGTTACAGTTACTTTGTACCTGAAACACTAGTGAATCTGAACACTTCTGGAAGAAATGTATTCTGTTTGTAAAAATTGTTTGTATTTGGTGTGTGGACAACTTTGGTATTTTTCTCCTTGTTGAAATTTCTAGAAAGGATAAGGGTCTTTTGGTTTATTCAGACCGAGAAAGACTAACTGAACTAACCATTGGCATGTAGGAATCTACACCAAGTCTTCATCTAGCTACTGATTGCCATGTGTATTTGAAGAGTGACCTGTCCAGCCAGAGAACTCATAGAGATGGAAATGTAGAAAGCTTGGTTACTTGGAAAGAGTAGCAAAGAATTGGTTGTCTTGAAGTATCTTAGAGCTCAAAAGAAGAGATTTGATGATCACATGGTCACATGTAGCATATTGTGCCAGATAAGAGAGATAAGTTTTCAGCTTAGAGGAACTCTGGTAACTTGGAGCTTTTTTAACTTCACAACTCTCATAAATGCAAATGGTTGGCATTTCTCTTCTGACCAGAGGCTGGAAGCCTTTGCTGATCAGTCATTAGATGAAGTCACAACCCTTTATGTGTAAGCTTTCTGTTTAGGTGGGCTCAGGAAAAATGATCCATCCTGGCACTTACTCAGAGCCATAAAGGCCTAGTTTTTCCAGTGTTAATCATGTTTCTGGCTATTTGGATGATGTATATTTGCTGGCTGTAAGGATTCATAATGGTTGAGTCAAAGGAGAAAACATAGCATCAACACACTTCAGTCCAACATTTTGTTCTCTGAGCTAGTAATGTGTGTCAGACATATTAACTAGGAGGATTTATAGCAATTACTAATTGCAGAAAAACATAACATCATCAATAAGACTGTGTTCTTCATAGCTGCCCTGCTTTAAACAAGGGAGGTCAAGAGCAGCCTTGCTGTTCACTTGCTTGTAGGCTGATGTTTAGGGCTGTCTTGAAATGGGTTCAGGGTTCAGGCTGGTGAGTTTCAAA